TTCGTATAAATCTAATATGTGTACTCTTTTGCCACTGGCTTCTTTCTCGTGACATGTCTTTGCAATTCATTTATGTTGCACGTATCGTAATTTGTTTACATTATAGGGTAGTATTAAATAGTATGATAGACTATATTCTCTGTATTCTTCTTTTGATGTACCCTTACCTTGTTTCTAAATTTGGGTTGTTATAATTTAGACTGCTATGAATTTTCTTCCTAGTCATTTTGTGGATATGTTTTCATTACTCTTAGGTAAATATCTAAGAATAGAATGTTAGGTCACAGGTAGTTGTATGTTTAACTATCAAAGCAACTGCCAGTTTCCAAAGTTGTACCAGTTAATACTTTCAGGAGCAGCATGTGAGAGCTCCACTTGTTCCACATCTTTGCTAATGCTTGGTATTGTCAGTCTTTTCTATTTTATCCTTGTCAGGGCTTTTTGGAGCCTATTAAAGAAGAAATGTTGCCTACTTCAAGGTTGCAGAAACAGGCTCATTTTTATTTGCAAATATTTTGTGGTTACAGCTTTTATGTTCAAGTTTGTGGTCTATTTTGTTTTGGCTTTGTATATAGAATAATAAAGACATTGAATTTTTTCTGTATGGGTATCCATTATTTTCCAACATGATCTCAAAATAGCTCATCTTTGCCCATTGATTTTGCTTGGTGTCTTTATGATTTTGCTTGGCATCTTTTTAAAAACTGTGTGTGTGTCTCTCTTTCTATATATATATATATTTCTAGACTCCATTCTATCCCATTGATGTTATATCTATTTTTAGGCCAAAAACACAGTTTTGACTGTAATAGGTTTTATAAAATGCTTTTCTTTTTAATTTAAAAATTGTGTTCAACATGATGTTTTGGAATATATATATATATGTGTGAGTGTGTATATATATTAATTGAGCTAATTAACAAGTGGATTACTTATATAGTTATTGTTTTTGTAGTAAAAGACTTAAATTCCACTCTTACAACATTTTTCAAAGCTACAGGATGTTATTATAATACAGTCACTATGGTCTACAATAGCCCTCTTGAAAACTTATTCCTTCTGCTTCACTGAAACTGCATTTTTTGCTTTTTAGCTATTTAATAAGTATTGAAGTTGGGTTATGCAAGTTTCTCAACTTTGTTCTTCTTTGTCAAGTTTGATTTGCCTATTTTAGGTCTGTAGCATTTCCTTCTGAGCTTTATTTGTTCATTTATTTGTACTGAGAATCAAACTCAGGACCTCGAGTTTGCTGTGCAGGTGCCGCCCCACTGAGCTATATTCCCAGTCCTTCCTTATTGACTTTAAAATAAGTTTGCTAGTTTCTTCAAAAAAATCCTGCAACAATTGTAATTACTGACCACTCATTTTAGCATGGAGAAAATTTTTACAGTTTTTCAAAAAAATCAATCTTCTACTTCAATAATTGAACAAAATTCATTGAGTATTTTTCTGGGTTGTATCTGTTCTTCTGTTTCAGTAGTGAACAAAATAAAAGCCACCTACTTAATAGCTGGGGAAGATAAATAATAGCTAAGTTAAAAATATATGTAAGTTATATAGACAAAATAAAAGAAGTCAAGGTAATAGGAAGTTGTAGATATGGGGAGAGAGACATTTTTAATAGGGATATCAAGGAAAACTCCTATAATTGCATCCCATTTGAGCAAATGCACCAGTGTGTAATGAGTGAGCCCCAAGGACCCAGCACTGGTGGCAGATGGAGCAGTATGTCCAAAGGTCCTGAGGTGGGCACCTGCCTGCTCAGCTCAAGGAGCAAAACAGAAGTCTACAGAGGGAGACAGGAGGAGGTGAGGATGCCATAGCCCATGGGATGGACTCAAATGTGTGAGTTTTGAGCAAGCGAAAGGGACATGTTTAAACAATATACAGTATAATAACCACTGTTAATTTCCTTTCATCTTGTTTGGAAATTCAGTATTGTTTTTATTGTTTGTTTCTCTCTCTTTAAAATAAAAAAAAATGATACAACTGTATGTTGTATAGGAATAGACTCCTGAGCGTTAGGGGTGGAAGCAGGGAGATTGTGTAAGGAAAGACTGCGGTGTTCCAAGCAAAAGACGGTGGTGACTATTTTCCTTGATTTTAAATTTTTTCTCTACTGGCACATAATGTGGTAAGTGCGCAGATTAGCAAGAACCAGACCTTTCCTTATGTACATAATTCTATGATAAAAATGCAACAGCAAGTGGGGGTTCTAGTTTTGGGGGTTTGTTTTCATGATACCACTCATGTCTCATGCTATACTTTAGTTTTGTTTTGTTTTTTAGGGTTTTTTTTTTCCTGGTACTGGGAATCGAACTCACAACCTCGCATTTGCCAGGCAGGTGCTGTGCCGCTGAGCTAAATCCCCAGCCCCTAGTAGCATAATTCTTCTTCTTTTTTTTTTTTTTGTTTTGTTTTTTTGGGGGATTCATGCTATACTTTTGAATGTCTTAAGCATTGCCGGTTTTCAATTGCATTTCTTACTTTTGGAAAGTCTAAATTAGAGTGCCTTAAAACTCGCCCATTTAATGGATCTCTGTGCATTGTTTCTTTTATGTATTAAATGAAATGACCTAAACCTGGCCTCATCTGAAATGCTTTTTCAGATATTGTTATATACAGAGTATGATTGAAAATCAGGGTATGTTTAAATTTTTAAAAATTTTTATGATGATGGAAGAAGCACTGCCATTAATTTCCCTCAGAACACTCCCCTGACTTCAGACACATTTTCCTGGCCGCTTCCCCTCGCTTCAGACACAGCTTGTTGTTCTTGCCAGTTGCTGTAGCAGTTCTGGAAGTCCTTCCTGGTGAGTGGCTTTACTTGTGCTGCCTTGATTACCCAGAATCAATTAAAAATGGTTACTTCTCATTACTTCCCATTTTGACTTTGGCAAAAAGGCAAAAGTCACATGGTACCAAATTCAGTGATTAAGGGGGGTGAGGACACACTGTACCGTTTTTAGAACCCTACGTCTCTATTGGATGGTGCTGGGCAGCAGCATTTACCAGGTTTTTGATCATACCCCATAAAGACACTCATAAAAGAAGACCTCCGCTGATTCAGAAAGAGGAAAGATTGGTGAGATAAGTATGCTGGAAGCGTGGTGCAAGTGTTTTGAGGGAAATTAATAGCAAAATAATTTTTTTTTAAAAAGTAAATGTTCACTGTATTTTTCGATCATCCTTTTTGTATTTAGTTTGATTCCCGTACTAGTCTGCAGTCTTCTAGACATGGCTGATAGCAACATTTATCTTCTGTAATTTTAACAAATACATTTTCAGATTATCACATTGCCTCCTCTTTGTTTTTGTACTTGTAGAAAATGTGTACTTGTATTAAGAGTAACGGAGAACTCATCCATTCTTGATACTAGGTTAATTATGGGGTAGCAGTGAAGCATTTTAAGTGGCAGAAAATTTTATAATTTTTTTTAGATTGACTTGTAAGGATCAATTCATTACCCAATTTATTTTAGTTATAGTTTATTAATATGTTCTAGTGTTTTAAAGAATTTCTAAGAGTAATGATAGTAACACTGTAACTACTGCAGCAAAATTTTTAGCATTGTGAATATTTTTGTGAAGAAATTCAATATAAAATAGAAGTAAGATTTAAACTTGAAAAAATCCCTTTAGTGTATAATCCTTATAAATTTAGCTGATTTTAGGGTTCAAAACACCATTTTTTTAGTTTGATTTTTAACTGTTGTTCTCTGACTTGATATATGGAATATGGGAGAAGGGAAACATTTAGGATCAGGGCTGACAGATTTCGTCTGTCTTCCACAGGCTCCAGTCCTCCGTTAGCTCACCTCTCTGAACTGGCAAACCCCAGTCTCCCAAGGAGAGACCTGGGCTGGAGCTCCTCAGCTGTGGCCCTTTCAGTGATCTGACCATCTTGGCCAATTTTGAAAAAATATTTTGAAATTTAGGGGCTAAATTTACTTACAAGAGTGTACAGTTAATGACCTGTCTCTTATTTTGGATTTTCTTTGTGCTGTCATTCTTGAAAAGCATAGAATGTGCTTTGTCACTGAAAAAAGATCACCTCAGCCAGATGAATTTCTGTCAATCCCCTGGTAGCTCCAAATGTATGTATGCAAGGGCACTAATTACTAAATTAATGGAAGAGAATGGTGAAGATAAAGCTAGTAGAGGATGAATATTTTAAAGCACAAAAACAGTTGGATGTGGGTACATGCCTGTGTCCCAGTACTCAGAAGGATGAGAGAGCAGGATTGCTGAGAGCTTGATGTCAGCCTGGACTACGTAGTGAGTTCAAGGCCAGCCTGAACTGTACAGAGACTGTGTCTCAAATGCATTTCTGTGGGTCTAAAGTAAAGCATCTATGAGAGACAGCTGGTGTTATGTTTTATATTCTTTTTTCCCCTCTCTCTATAAAACTAGCATTGTGAGAAATTTTAAAAACTGTACTAATTTTCATAAAATAAACTCTCTTCATTCTTTCCCATTGTCACTGTTAATTTGGGCAATGCCAGCCTGTTTCTGTTAGAGTTGCTATTCAACTAAAAATGTATGATGATCTGCTGCACACATAAAAATGTAATGAGCAAAGCTGAGCTAAACGTAATTGTGCCTATACCAGTACTGTGACAGGAAGTGTCTTCTATACTAGTGCTGATTTCCATGCCAGTGATAATTTTATGTCTGATTTACATTGTGTTCTCCTTGCTGCTGTATTAATACTCGGAATAGGTCCATCCATTCCAAGGAGGGGCAGTTGTCCCCAAATCTAATTAACTTTCTCTCCTAGTCCTTTAAAAGTTGTAAGTAGTTACAATATAAAAATGGTGATAGCAGTCAAATTCCATCCCTAAACGCTGCACTTTTTCTTTTAACCTAAATTCCTTGGTGGGCATATGTGCTTGTTGGAGACGTCTTCTGAGCACATCACAAAGGGTTCAACAGTTAAAGCAGAAATATTCACCCATCTCCCGCTAGCCAGTGGCTGCTGGGAGAGACAGGCATCCTACCATTGCTGAATGGTCGTCGCTGAGATGAATGAGCATTGCAGCTTCTCATATGTGCAAATGGCAACGAGGAAAATGGACGCCCATTCCCACCTAGAAGTGTATCAGCATGCGGTCCCTTCAGCCATTAGAGCAACTTCACCATGTAGACTTCCTGGGTAAAGGGGCACAATAACAGACAGAGAATTTACAAAACCTATTCATTCGATAAGGACTTCGCTTATGTTTTCTGGTCCTTTCCCTTTGACTTAACAAAGCACTGTTTTTTTGTTTTGGGTTTTTTTTTTTTTTTTTTTTTTTCTTTTAAAGCATTTGCTATGTTCACACATTGTGGAAGTCACTGAAGGATTTTAAATGGACTAAATGCCTTTAAAATCCAATTCTTCAAGGAGTGATTGAGATAAAAAGTTGGATATTCACAATAAAAACTCTAGAAATCACATTAGGGAAAATGTGTCGTACAGTGGCATATGGTTTATAGCAAGAACAAAAATTATATTGATGTTTTGAAACAAATACTGCTGCAATAGATTATTATACATGTATAGGTTTTTAAATAAAAACAACTACACATTCTTACCATATCTTCTATGCTTCCAGAGTCTGAAAAAGCATCTAAGATTGTGAATTCCCCTTTGTCAGAATTTGGCAGTTACAAGTGACTGTTGATTTACAACCCAGCTGGATCTTGGGTCTTGGCTGCAAGTCAGCCTCTTTAAATCAGGAATTGCCTGACTCAGAACTCACAGCTTTCCCTGCTTTTCAGCTGTTCAAAGAAAAATGTCTTCCTCTAATTTCTTATCCATACCTGTTACTTAACTCTTCCCCTCCCTTCTCTCTCCCCCGCTCCCCTCCCCTCTCCTTCCCTTCTCTTTCTCTAGAGAGATACGAGTTTTGTTGTATTATTCAGTCTGGCCTCAAACTTTCAATCCGGCCATCTTTGTCTTGAGGGCCACTGGGATAACAGGTGTGTGCCACCGTACCCAGATTCCATGCCTGCTCCTAAGAGAGACAATCCTTTGTTAAAGTTTTGCTAGTTTTAGAGATGTATGAATTCCCTCATCTAATTGCATTAATGCAGTGAAAAGTTTTTCAACCTGATAATTCTCTCTCACCTTATTCTGACATTGATAACCCTGGCCATCTTGGATGTATACGGTTTAGGGGGTTGTAAAGGCCAACTGTGGTTTAGAACAGGGGAGTAGATGATTAATTTACAATAAAAAGATGGGAAGGAGAAGGCCCTAAACTGGGTGTTTATTTCTAGGTAAAGTTTTAATGACATCAGCTGAGAATCATTACAGGAAGGAGAATTTCCTGGGCTTGGGGAAAAAAACAGGTGGACGTAGAAGAGGATGAGTGAGTTTGCAGTAAAGTTTCAAGGCCCAGAAGAAGCTTATGGGTTTTGTGTTAGGGGTTAGGTATTGGCAAAACCGAGACTGACATTACAAATCCCTATTACCCTAGGAACTGAGAAAATTCCTGAGCAGCATATCTCCAGCCCTGCTGCAGAGTGCCCAAGCATTTCTTATCTAGGGTTCTAAGTTAGCACATTGGAACAGACCCAAGACAGAGGAATTAACACTTCTGAGCTATAAAAGGAGACTTTGAACATTGGTTGAAGAATTACTCAGAGAAAATTAAAGTGAAGGTATTTCTCCGACTGCCTATAACTTCAACAAAACAACAAACCTAGTAAAAAGTCTGAAGAGAGGAACATTGAAGAGATTTTCAGGGAAAAGAGACAAGCAACAGCAGTTAAATGGACAGTTTGCAATGCACAATTTTTTTGGTGTTCTTTACATTTTGTCTTGTTTGCAGAATTTGAACCCATAGGAACATTTATAGATTTACTTCTGACTTCACTTACCTGTATGGATTTAGGTTTTCTTCATCTGCAAACTTCACCACTATGACATTTTAAGCAGTCACTGTAATTGTCGGGAATATACCTGAAGTAAAAGATAAGTAGCACACAACTTGCCTCTCACACTGGCTTTGCTCCTTCTTGCAGGCTTTTGGTACAGAAGAGGGGGTAGATTTGCTACTGAACGATGTGACACAATTCATGAGAGCTCTCCCTACTTCAGTACATGTGGCCTTTTGCTTTCTTCTCACACTCTTTAACTGTCATCCTTTCCTCTTCTGTGCCTTTTCTTCCATCGTCTTTTTGTCTTCCTGATCTGTGCCTTAGTTTTGTCAGTATTGCTTAGCCCGACAGCCTCAAAAGAATCTTCACCTGAGGTACTGAGAATTCTCTGCATAAAGAAACAAGGGGTACTTTGCTTGAGTCACATGTAGTTCCTTCCTCAATGACTTTTTCTTAGAAAAACAAGAGCTGCCAGCATTTAAATGCATTAATCTTTTATCTTTATTTTTACTGAAATTTAGCTGTATTTTTCAATTTCTAATCTTATAGTTTAGGGGAATAGCGAATCCTATGGGCAGATGCTGCTGCTGGCATGGTATCACGGTAGAAATGCTCCCCTTCACTTTGGCAAACCTTGGAGAAGCCCATGGTGAATTCTTCAGAGTGTGAGGCAGACAGTCACGAGAAACTTCTTTATTGGTGCTCTTCGTGTTTTAGGCAACCTAATCTCTCACTGTGGTCTGGTTTTGTCTGCTACTAGTGTTCCTTTAAAGAAAAGAAGCCTTATTTATTTGCTATGGTGCTTAGAGGATTTGATAGTAAATATTTTAGAAAAAATTCAAAAGAGAGAAATTTCTGCTGCATTGCTAGTCTGTGCCTTAGAGGTACAATTTTGCTCCAGATTTTTAGTGCTGTTACTGAGCACTTTTATACTTCCCATCTTTTTTGTCCCGTGGTAGCTTGTATTTTCTTGTATATTTGGACTGAGTAAATCCCTTAAGGTGTATAGGTGGAACTACTCAGGTTATGTCTGCATTAAATATTTATAATGGCATCATTTTAAACATCTCAATATATATTTTAACAAGCTTTGAGTACTACAAAGAAAGGAAAAAGGAAGAAGGAGTTAGAAATTGAATTTCTCTTTCCAGGAAACCTTCGAGAAGGTGAGCTTAAGTAGCAACAGCAGTGGGGCAGCCAGCCTGAAAAGCGAGCTTTCAGAAAGCACAGATCTGGCCCCTGAAGGCTTCCAGGCACCTTGCGGGAAGGACGAAGACAGGGCCTGTGATGAAATACTCTCTGAGGACAACTTCAACCTGGACACTATCGAGAAAGGTACTTCTGCAGAGAGGGCGTCATGCCAGCACGAATGCACTCTTGACTCCTTTCTGTTTCAAAGTTCATTTGCTTTTTTATTTGTATTGATGTGCAGATATATATTCAGAGCTGGATGATGAATTGGACATTTCGGATAACTCCAGCAGCTTGAGCTCAAGCCCTTTGAAAGACTCTACATTCAGTAAGCTCTCTTTACAAGTTCTTTACATGTTGTGGGAGTCTAGCAGGTAGTGGTTTGGAGTCATACCATATGCGTATCCTGGAGCTGGTTTGTTTTTTAGGTGCAGCACTAGTTGGGGCGGGTAAGTCTGTGTCTCCTCCAGGGGTCAGAGGCCAGCAAACACCATGACTTTGTAGTCCCTCAGCTATCGGGATAGTTCTGTTATTCCTACGGGCAAATGAAGCTCTTACTGGGAAACGGAGATAACTTATTTGGAGATGGCTAAATAGCTACACAAATGATAGAAGTAATCCTTTAAGACTGCATTGGTTAGAGGAATTACAAATGCATAGAAGGAACTAGGCTTGGGACAGACAACTTTTGTGCAATTTTATTCATATTAATGTAGAGGATGTATTATATTTCAAAACACTAAAGTAGAAGAAATTTCTGGATATTTTACTACTATGACAAATATGATATATAAATGCAGCTTAATGTTAGTATTAATTTGAAATAAGAAAGTAATTTTACTTTGGAATAGGAAAGAAAAAGAAAAGATATATTTAGATAGAATTGAAAGATTATAAGGAAAGATAGGATCAAATATACTCAACAGGCCTGAAGTTGAAAGATATTCAAATAGAAAATGGAGAAAAAATAAATCTTTTAAAAAGAAAATTGATAGAATATAAAACAGACATAGAAATACTCTAAAAATAAATTAAATATAAATTCTTTCTCTCAGTGACTAGATCCTGAAAAAAATCTCAAAAGAGAAGATTTAAAGTAGTCTACGGATCAAAATAGAACCCTAAGGAGTTAGCTACATTCTGTGTCTTTTAAAAGCTTAATTAGTCTATCAAAATGGTAACTAGATCTTCCAGATTTTCTGGGACAATCACAATTTCCAATTCCTTGTCCTAGTTTCCCTGTAAATTTCTGCCTGCTTGATAAAATGGTTTGATTTGCAACTGGGAAAACATGAATATAATATATGAAAACCTTTTCTTCCATATAGACATGTCTAACAAACTCTAGGGATAGGTCATTACTGTTTTGTGATGAGTTCAGTGTTGTTAACCCCGGGTAACAGTGGTAGGAAGGGGCAGTAGGGAAATGGGAAAGAGCAAGTAGATCCTAAAATTTACATGTAGTAGCTTGTAGCTGTCTTGGGAAAGGTTTTAGGAAGACTATTAACAGCTTATTTTTGTTTGCTTAGCATCTTTTCTTTGGAACTAAGGCCTTAAACAAGCCTGTCAAGTAAATAGTAATTTGTAACATTATATTTTAGCTGAGGCTTTCATGATAAAAAGAATACAGCATTTAAAAAATATTTGTGGAGGAAATAATATAGTTATTTTTAAATTCTTGTTGCAGGCATTTTAAAGAGAAGTTTTAGTGCTTCCGGAGGAGAAAGGCAGTCCCAAACGAGGTATGTAGAGATAGATCTCTTAGAAGTATTTTTAGGCTTTGCAGAGCTGAGAGGCTGGTGACAGAACCGACTGCCAGAAGTCACCACAGACACATGGAAAGAGAAGCTGTGTGGATCTTTCCGCCCAGACCCTACTACAGTTTACCAGGTAGCATGCTGGAGAGAGTGCTAAGCTTGGACCCGGGTTTTATCCTAGCTCTGCCTTTTTCTAGCTAGTGGCCATCAGCCAAAAAGTCTTTCTGAGCTCAACATGGGTCAAAATTGTAGGGCAGTTGTGGGCTGTCACATCACCTGGAACTGTGGCTTGTTCTTCTACATCTCCAGTTTATATGTCTAATCCTTATGACAACTATGGCCAAGAAAAGGAAAGGGGGATCCTTTCCTTTTAGATGTGGCCAGATGTTTTACCCATCACTTCTGCTCTTACACATCTAGGCAGAATGTCCTTACATTGACCACATTTTGCTGCAGAAGTTGGTGGGATTTATTTGGGATGTTCCCTTTTAACAGCAAGGAGAAATTACTGTAGGACAACTAGTTCTATCAGTGACACCTGTCTTTTAGAGTAAGGACTGAAACAAACTAGTAGACTTGGGCTTTGCAAGTTCTTGATGACCTTCATGAGACTGTTCATGAGAACAGTTTTGGTGTCTTGAGGTGAGGATGGAATGCTTGGTTGTGGTACTCTTGAGAATTTCCAGAGGTAGGAAGTTCAAGAAATGGGGAGTGACTTAACAGAATTAGTTTATAGGGAACATTTGGTGGAAACCGCCCCCTAGTTTCTAGATGACTTCTTAAAGACTTCCTTGAGACTTCAGTGAAGAGGCAATAGAGAGGAGATTAGAGAAGGAAAGAGAAGTCAATTCCTACAGTCACACAGCAGTGCGGAGCTGGAAGTGTAGGCCTGGCAAAGATGGAGAAGAGTGAGGGAGATGTCTAAATTTTTCTGTGTCTGGATAAAGAGAGACCAAGATACAATTAAGCTAGAGAAGTAGTGAAAGGATGTCTGTTTGTGAGATGATGTTCTAGGCTACTGCTGAGAGGACTGCCCAGGCTTCAGGAGTCTGGTCAGCTGGGATGGTCCAGTAGAGATAACAGAACTGAATGGCTAGAGGGACTGTCAGAGGCTAGGGCAGCAGTTGAGGCTGGGACCACGCAGAATGTCAGTGCTGGGCAGTGGGCATTATAGAAGCAAACTATGACACAGGGCCATACTCCTCAGTGAAAGAACTTTATACTAAAGTGGAAATTTCCAATCAGGTGAATTTAGGAACCTTGGAATTGGCAAATAATTATACTTTTATTTCCTAAAAGGATTCATAGAAAATTTTATTTGCGGGAATTCAAATTCAGTTGGTGTCACCAATTTCAGTTGGTGTCTTTTTATTTTAACACCAGAATATATTTATGGGGAAAGAAAACTTCTGTCAGAGAGAGAGACAGAAAGGGTCCTGAGTGGGTTGCCAAGGACCTGGCCTTTTCTAGGGATTTGTATAGAGCAAAATGATGAGGTGAATCAGGTCCAATGTGGGGAAAATTGGGGAATCACAACAGTTGGTGTCAACTCTTCAAAATCAGAAGAAACATATATACTGTTCATTTTAGATCTGAGATAAGTTTTTCAAAAAAACCACTAGTTATTATTTAAATATTTTACAACAATTGGGCCAACTGGAATCTGTAGATAGGGACAATTCAGTCTGAGGCAGGCATATTGCAGAGTGAGTCTTACCTTGAGTTTATGACCATGTTACCAGATGGAAAATGGCCTGTACATGGAAGAAAGTATGAGGTAAGGTGAATAAGACCTGACCTAGACCAACACTTGTAGAGATGTGTTCCAGATAGGGTGTGCAGTATGTGCAGTATGACATAAGACAACACAAACTGGTTTAAACCAACCTCTCTTCCCTCAAGGAGTTCACACTGTAATGCAAGATAAAGGTAGACTTTAAGAGAAAAAAAAATGAGAAAAGGCATGTCTAGTAAGAGGAGAAAACATTGATAATTTTTTCATGCTTCCAGTGATCCCCGAGCTTTCTTTGAAGTAAAAGGAGACACCTCTCAATTGCACTTATAATTCTTAATGTGCCAATAAGTAAAGCTAAAGTTATTTTCAATCTGATATTTTTAGTATTTTCCTATGTTTCTTCATTTATTGATGTGAAATGTGAACTCATCCTACAAATATTTACAAGATTAATTGATAAACTTGAATATCAAAGGAGATAGCAAAGTTATGTAATAGAGTAAAAATAAATCTAAATATGGCTTGTAGAATTTTTGGCTATTCTCTTCCATGTCTGAAACCATGTGACAGTTACAGTGGGCCCCCAGCCAGCGTTTACAAAAGGAGTTGGTTCCAAAGAGCAGATGCGCAGGGAAATACAGGTCTGAACGGAGAGCAGCTTCTACAGTCTAGAATTCAGATTTGACCCTGGCTAAACAGTTCAGAGAGAAAGCTTAGGCATAAATTCTCACATTGGTAACCTTAGATATTAGGAGCCATACATATACCAATTAATTGTCTACTGAAAAAAATTGAACTACTTCCTTAATAACTTGGGCTAGGCTGTCTTAGGCAAATGAGCCAGGAAAATGGGTAAAACACAGTAAATGGAACTAGAAGAGCAGCATCTGTCTCTTCAAAGAAGTACTGAAATTTGGAGACTGGAGAAAGCAAATATAGCATGAGAACTAGAAGGCACCCCAGTGGTCTAAGCAATCATCCTGTGAGTTTTTTTAGGAATATGATTAATAGCAAGACCACAAGAGGATAAGTCCCTTTGAAATTTTTAACTTAAGTCATTTTCAAATTTGATCTAAAATCTGATACTTGCATTACTATTTGCCAGGAAATAATTAAGAATGGACTTGACAAAAGCATGGTGGTGCATGCATATAATCCCAGCACCCAGGAGGCTGAGGCAGGAGGATTGCCATGAGTTCAAGGTCAGCCTGAGCCACATAGTAAGTTCAAGGCCAGCTTGAACTACATAGTGAGACCCTATCTCAAAGACCAAACCAAACCGAGTCAAACCAAAACAACTTACCCATCAAGTTTTCCAATTTTTAAATTTTTTATTAGTACAGATTTGCACTACATATGATTATGCTTACTGTGGTGAGTTTGTACATGTACACAACACATTTTAATTCTTTCTACATAATCTTCTTCCTTTCCCCCTACCTCTCATCTCTTGGTTCTCCTCCCATTTGCAAAAGATCTATCTCCATGTTTTCTATTCACTCTAAATTATTTATATTTTGGGTTTCTCATATATGAGAGATCATGCAATACTTGAGCTTGTGTGTCTGATTTATTTCACTTAACATTATGGTGTCTAGTTGCACCCATTATCCTACAGATGATGCAAGTTTATCCTTCTTTATAGTAGGGTAGTACTCCATTGTGTATTTTCTTTATCCATTCTCTGTTGGTGGATAGATGGGCTGTTTCCAAGATTTAACTACTGTGAGTTGTGCTGCTATAAACATGGGTGTGTATGTAATAGGAAATCTTTAACTCTTTTGGGAATATACCTAGAAGGGAAATAGTTGGGTCAAAGCAATTTCTAGTTTTAGTTTTTTTTTTGAAAAATCTACATACTGATTTCCATAGCAGTTGTAGTAGTTTACATTCCCAATGAAAATGCAGAAGGGATTTTTCTCCCCACAGCATCACCAGAATTTGTCATTATTTGATTTCTTGATGACGTCCATTCTTTCTGGTGTAAGCTACAATCTCAGATGTTGTTTTAATTTGAATTTCTCTAATGGCCAGTGGTGTTGATCATTTTTTCGTGTATTTATTTGCCATTTTCCACTTCACCTTCTAGGAAGTATCTATTCACTCAAGTTACCCATTTTTTATTGGGTCTTTTATTTTGGGAAATCTAGTGTTTTAAGTTCTTTAGATATTCTAGATATTAGTCCTCCATTTGAGTTGCCACATGATAAAGTAGGTAAAACTCCTGAAATAATAGGTGCAGGCCAGGACTTTCTGAATAGAACCTCAGTTGTGTATAATAAATAACACCAAGAATCAATAAATGGGATCATACTAAATAAAAAAAGCTTTTGGACAAAAAAGGAAACCACCAACAGAGCAAAGAGACAACCCACAGAAAGGGGAAAATTTGCCAACTACACCTGAGAGTTTCGTCAATTTTTATTATATAGTTTCTATTGGTTGTTATATATATTTCTAATTCAGTAAGTCACAGCACTTTATGTCAATTAAAATTATCCTTTACATTGGAATTTGGTAAGGCAAATAAAAGCTTCAACCTAGAACTATCACATTCAGATACTAGGGAACTTTGCTCGTTATATAATTAATGGCTTTCTTAAGAATATTCATTTGAACTTGCTACAGTAGTATATGCCTGTAGTCCCAATTATTTGGAAGGCTGATGCAGGAGAATCTCTTGCATCCATGAGTTCAAGACCAGCTTAGGTAATATAGCAAGACCCTATCTCAAAAAAAAAAGAGAATATTCAGGTAGTAAATATTTAATTCTGTGTACCAGGCATGCACCATACTATGTCTGTTTTATCTTTGTATTTTCCCGGGCACATTTATTGCATAGAGATGCCACAAATCCACAAATGCTTCTTAATTAATAGACAAATGACTGTTATCTCAATACAAATTCTTTCCCCCTATAGAGGACTGGCTTAAATCTTACCTGCTGGCTTAAATCTATAGCCTTTGCCATAGACACAGCATAAGACCCATTCTTTTTCCTCTCCCTCTCTCTGCTCCCCTCTTTTTAAGATTCTGTTGCTCAGGCAACAAGATTTCTTCATGCCTGCTTGCCTCCTGTTGCCTCGGCAACAGAGCATAGTTGGCAGGCTAGTTTGAGACATCGGATGTTTGTGGTAGCAGAGATGCCTGTGGTTCACAACTTCTTTGATAAGTTAGTATATGCATAAATTTATTTAAGGGTGTGCTCCTGACTTCAGCCTTTGTGTAAAGAGCTGATTGTGAATGTTCGTCAGAAATGGACCAGAAAGTTTCCCGTGTCATCTCAAGACCTGTGACACTTCCTTCTTTTTAGCAGATGCCTCGCTTATTTTTACTTGTGCCTATTTTCTCTCAACCCCTCTTTCACAAACCGCATGTAGTTTTACTCCCACTGAATAAGTGCTGTTTGATCACTACTTTAGCCTAGCTGCCAGTGTCACAACCCAGCAGTCTTATTAGCAAAGCAAAACAGCCACAACAAAACCCAACACGAGACTGTCAGTGAGACCATTATTCCATTTCTGTGACAGTTCTAGACTTTTGTGGCTTCTTGCTTGTTTCTAGCTGTCACTGCAGTGTGAGTGGAATGCCACAGGAGCATTATACCCCTTTCTTGTTGTCATACCCACTCTAACAGGTAAATGCAAGCCTTTCTTGAATATGAGAGCTCAACTCTACATAATGTCACTTATTCAGACAGCATATGCTTATGAATGTCACTGCCTGCAAGAGACTTTCAGCTGTAAAATTCCACTTAGCTCTTATGGTGTGATTATAGGAGCCTAAAAACATATTTTCTTAATATTATGAGCCAAACATCTCATAGCATAAAGTGAAATATTTCTTTTTCTTATCAGCATCAAGTAGCATTGGCTACTTTTTCTGATTAAATGAAGTGATGTACCCATAATGTGTGAGGAAATATTTTCTTTATTGAGAGATATAGTTAAAGGAATTCTTATGAGGCACAGAACTCTAGAGCTTTATCTCTCACCTTCAGTCTTTGTATATCGAAATGACTGCGAATGTTTGTGACCCTCTGTCTTTTTACTTTTCTCTCATAGTTGAGACAAAATACCTGACACCAAAAATGAAGGAGGGAAAGGTTTCTTTAGCTCACAGTTTGTGAACAAGTTTCAGTCTGTAAACAGCTGGCTCCACGTGGAGTGGCGTGGCACAGGGGCAACAGTTCAAGGCGGTAGAGGACAGCAAAAGCAACAAGAGCAAAAGGGCAGGGAGAGAACAAGTCTCCTTTCTTCCCTGATATTGTAAGCAGGCTAACACCCCCTAGTGATAGTGCAGCACTCACATCATCTCTGTGACCTCCTCTTGCACAGGCTGAGAATGTTTACAAAGTGAGGATCCTGGCCCCCTGCTGAGTTGCTTAGTTAAACTTCTAGACTTCTCAAGTTGACACAGCGTATCAACCATTAAACCATCCAACACCATAAATGGCCAGGACTCTTCTGACAGAGCAGTTAACCAGATAATTCAAGCTGTGCTCCAATGAATTAGGGTGAAAATCTATTTAGAAAGTCACAAAGCTCACACCTCCATTTTCCACTCTGACATAATCAATCATCTGAGGTGGAAGTTGTAGACTAACACTCATTTTCATCCTGTCAGTTTGTTGTTGTTTTTTTTTTTATATTTATTCATTCTTGTGCATTGTGGGGATAAGGTCACACCAGATCTGCTAAATGTGAACCCTCTCACCCCTAAATGTCTTTGAAATACTTTCATCAGCCTAAAGTGCAATTGCTCAGCACCCATTTTAAAGCTATTAGAAGGCACAGTCTTGAATATGTTAAGCCTTTATACCAGAAAATGTGTCTGGAATGTTCTTTTGGGGTTAAATCATTTTTATGTTTTGCAGCTTTAGCTGTTAGGAAAATAACAGCCTCGATAGCCATTAAGTTTCTCTGGAGGTAAACTTTCCATGTGGTTCAGCCTAGACCTCCCTCAGGTTCCACATATGTTCAGGCATTTGTCCATCTATGGAGCCAGCAATTGCACATTAAAATCTGTCACTTCTTGTCCCAGTGAATCAGTTTTGTTTTGAAGTTTCAGAAGTCTACATTTTCTTGTGGTTAATGATATGATTGCCATAGAAGTCATCATTTTTTCCACTGTACAATCTTGCAAGTTCCAAAACTGTGGAGGCCTTCTCACCATCCTATCTCTCATGCCTAGCATACTGTCTGCATATAGTGGGCACCTAATAAATGTGATGTTATGGAATGAATTCATGGCTAAATGTGTGATTTCTGAAAAATTCCCTAAAATTTCCTAAAAGGGATTTGGAATTGCAGAAAGGAGTCAGAAGCTTGTACAACCCAGCATTGTCAGGGTGACCTATATCACATGTCTCACTTATGTGCACTGTTTATCATATTTTAATATGTAAAAATGTTTGAAATATTTAATTCTTCAAGGCAATAGGAATAGTCCTCCAGATAACTCAGCATGTAAGTGGTCATCAGCCCTTCAAAAATATCCACAAATGTGGATTAAAGCTTTTGCAAGATTTATTCTTATTCATCTTTTATGATAGTAAGATTCTTGAGGTGCCACTGGGTCGTGTTGAATGTGTGAGCACAGTGATCAGCACCTTCTGTAGAAGGGTCTAGAATGTTAAATATGGTGGCTGCTAGGCGCATGTGACTGGTAAGCAGTTGATATGTGGCTAGTACACTGAGGAACTGATTTCTAGTTTCATTTAATGTTAGTTTAAGTGGAAAATATGTTAAAATGATAACATTTTGGGTATATTTGATAAGGAAAAAGGAATGTCAGTTTTTCTTTTTTAAAAATGTGGCTACTAGAAATTTAAAAATTATGTTTATACTTTTTGCATCATATTTTTATTGGACAGCGCTAGATTCATCCAGAAAGCTAAGAAATGAAGTTATCTAGAAAGCATTTCCTGGGGCGTAGGCAGGAAGTGAGGAACCAGAGGGGGGCATCTAGCCCTCCAGCCCAGCTCTGACGCTGTCTGCCCACCCGTGGGCACTGCTGGGGACGTGCCCATTTTGGACTTTCTGAGGGCAGGCCTATCCCTTTCTTTCTTTGAATCTTATTACAGAGCTAGGAAGAGTATATTAAATGTGTGAAATTCTGAAATTTAATTTACAATACAAGGTTCTAGAAACTTGGGCTTAGAATGAGGCAGAATTACGGGATCTGTGGAGGGCTGGCTTGGTGAGGAACAAAGCAGGTGGAAGAGGATGGGGAAGGTATGCGTAGGTAGACATAAAGATTGGTATTATTCTAATACTGATGTTGGGTGGTAGGTAAATAAGTGCTAGTTTTGTTACATTTACTCACTTAGATATGGGTTGTTTGCAAGTATCAAAAATTCTGTGATTAAAATGAAAGTTGGGGCAGGAGAATTATTAGCTATGTGTACTTGTATCTGAGTACCTGGCACGTGCATTGTAGGTGTTCAGTGTATAATTTTTGGATTGTATTAGATTGAAGTAAGTTTCTTATAACTTATTAGTGCACATATATTTTGTATTTCATTACAGAAAACTACAGTATTCAGAAATTGGCTTCAGGTTACAGTGGGGAAAACATGACTGAAGGTTACTTTATCTGTATCACTGCTGGAATTTAAGGCCACCTCCACAGGGCAGAAGGTTCTAAGACCAACTGTAAAGTGGGCAAGCAATCTAGCATGTTGAGGCAAGGCAAACAAGGAATGTTAATAGTAATGAAAACTGTAAGAAAAATATGATCTTTTTAAATGCAAACATCTTCTAATTTCATAAAAATAGTCATCAGCTTCTGTCTTTGAAGACAGCAGGAAGAAATCATGACAATGCTATGTACAATTTAAATGTTATTTCTTTTTAATACAATATCACAATTTTGATTTTTAAGAGTAGCAAGATAATCATTGAGGCAGTGAGATTTATGTTCTTATTTATTTATTTTATTATTTTAGGTTCTGAATCATACTTTAAACTTATAAGCAACCTTTTTGGAATAAACTTCTTCCACGTGTCAGCAGAATGTGCATCTTACTTTGTGTTAGAATATGTTTATTCTTCTCTTTATTAAACTCTTAAGAACATGTTGAGGCAAAATAACCTTTATTTATATGTATAATGCTGACCACAGTAGAGTGTAGCTTTCAGTAAATGTTTGTCAAATTCAAGTTGAAAAGTCATTCTAACAGCCTCCCATTGTGTTTTCAGGGAGTTCATTGGTGGAATAGGATCAAGACCAAGACCAGGTAATTGAGTGTTGGCAGCAGTAAAATCACACAACACACCTTCCTGAAATTCAGTACCATTTATGTTATGGTTTCATACCTTTCCCCCTTTTATTTCTTCAGCTTTGCTGCCTCTTGACCTACTTCTGAAAGTGCCACCCTTCATGGTCAGGTCCCACGTTAAGGAACTAAAGGCCGAGTTAGTGACAGGTTGGCAGTCCCATAGCCTTCCTGCTGTGATTCTTCGAAATCTCAAAGATCATGGTAGTACTTATTAGCTCACGTTGATGTTAAGCACAGAGGGTGAACACAGAATTATAGTTGGGCCTGAAATGTCTGAATTATGTTAAAGAGATCATTTTAACTCAAATAGCCAGAAAATTCTGTTTGGTTCATCCAGCAAATCACAAATTTGATTTCACTTCTTGATTAAAATATTAGAGATGTTTTTCTGTGTTCACTTATTGATTAAAATATTATATATATAGGTGTTTTTCCAAAATTTGAATTTCTTCTTTTCTGAGAATTAACCAGTTAAGCTACTGATGTGTAAAGTATATACCTACTAACAAAATATGACTATTCTATGTGGGCATTTCTAGGAATTCTGTACTTGTGCAATAGAAGAGAGTAAATCATTTTTTTTGATATCCTTTATTCTGACATAGAAAATTATTTTTTAGTTACTTTTATTTGTATTTGATTAAAATATTACACTGTTTCTTTAAATTAAAATTATAGATCCTTAAATGTAAAAGTTTAAAATGATGGATTGCAATGAAAAGGTTGTATTAATCTTTCTAATTTCTATGAAAGAGGATATAAGTAGAACAGTAATAGTAAAACTATTATCTAAACCTGGACAATTCAGAAAGATTCATGGTTGCCATTTAAACATATCTACAAGTGTAGGGCTCAAACATAAAATTCTACTTTATTCTTTTGGTTAATTTGTAATTATTTAGTGTTATTTTCACATTAGCTTCCTTAGCTCACACTTTTTGTACAGTTAACATAGTGTTTTCCTTATGAATGGATATACTGCAATATTAGGTCACATTGCTACATTTATTAAATTTTCTTTAAAAGAATTATTTGCGGTTTCAGGCCATCGCAATGTTAACATAGATGCAAAATAAGATGGCTTTATTACCTAGATGCCTAATGCTATCATGTTGGTCACGACTCTGTTCCTGTTATTTTTGCAAAGGTAAGTTGATGACATAATCATGAGTTTAGAATGATAGCTGTTGATTGAGCTTGTAAGAGTAAGAGCAGAGTGCATGCACGTGCGTGTGCACACACACACATACACACAGTATTCTTTTTTCTAAGGGGCATATTGTGTTTATTCAGTATAAGGTTTGATTTTATGTTACTGATGTTGATCAGATCTCTGGATCTTTACAGCGACTATTGACATTACAACACAGTTTTATATAATGTGTTCCTTATTCCTACAGTTTGTTATACCTGATAATTTTTTTTTTTTTTTTTTTTTGAGACCAGCCTGAATTCACTGTGTAGCTCAGGCTGATCTTAGACTTGCTATATAGCTCAGGGTGGCCTTGAACTCATGGCAATCCTTCTGATGCAGGCTCCTGAGTTCTGGGATTGCAGGTGTGTGCCATCATGCCTGGCACTTCCCAACTTTTAAAACTTTATATATATATATATATATATATATATATATATAAATGAGAATTCGCTAAAGCATTTGAAATGTGAGTGAAAGCTGAGTTTTACCTATAAAAGAAATTTCTACTAATATTGAAGAGGATAGTAATGTATATGAGAAAATTCAAGTTACCATCTATTTTTTCAATTAAAAAATTAGACCTATGAAATTGTTTTTTCCTGCACTGTATAAAAGTCATACATTTTAAAGTGTTGCAGGTAAGTTTGGACTATTTAATCAAATGACAAATAGTTGGCACTAGCCTTGTACACTTAGGCCCTTTCGTCTGCATGCTTTATTCCAATTACTACCTGGGCACTTCTGGCTTATAGGTATAAAATGTGCCATTGCCATGGCACTTCAGGAGGAGGGACCTGAGTTTGGAGCAAGGTGTCATGAGATTGGTCTAAGTTATAGCTTAAGCATTTGTTATTAGAATAAGTGAAATATTGAGCTATATAAATGTTTTATTTAAAAGTCACATTATATTACTGCATTTTATCTATGAAACATTTAATTTAGCTTTCTTGGATGGAAAGAATCATGTTGAAAACTGTACATAATTAACATCTATAGCTCTGCATTGGCTAAATATTCTGGAAAAAATTGGTGTGGAGGGAAGAATTTTATAAACATCTGAGTCTATCCCCAAGAATGTATCTAAGATATGAACATGATCTTCCATGTGTTATTGCAGAACAAGGGGTGAGGGCCATTGTTTTGGAGTTTCAAGTGACTGTGTTATAATTTTTGTTTGTTTGTTTGTTTTTCTTCTGGTACCAGGAATCAAACTCGTGACCTTATGCTTGCCAGGCAGGCACTGTGCCGCTGAGCCAAATCCCCAGCCCCTTAACTATGTTATAGTGTGATCTTGCCTATATGGTGTTCTTAAGTCTGAACTTCTAGGTTCACAATGTGAAGTTACAACAGTATTTAATGACATCTCCAAACTCCTGAAGAATAACTATGAAACTACTTCAAACTAATGCTGTCACAACTCCCCTTGTTCTCTTTTAATACCAACCAAACTATACCAGTGATTAATTCTGTGTACATTCTTTGGGTTCAGTATAGATTGCAGTTCCCTGCCAACAGAAATGAAACCTTAGACATTCCTATCTTGTGTGGTTGAAAATGCTAACAATAGTTAATATGCAAACAATGAATAAGTACATTAACATGTTTACTTTATGTTTATTTCCTCACCTTTAGTCATTTGTGGATGGACATTGCACAAAAGTAGCCATCCCAAGTATTATTTGTACTACTGTTTTGTAATATTTTTCTGTAAATTTGCTAATTTTCTCAAGCTTATTTATAGGAGAAATTTAAGTATTGCTATAAATGGGAAACCAATAAGGTATCACTTGTTATTCATAGATAGCAGTTCTAAAATCTAAGAAAAACAACATTAAATTCTAAGTAGATTTTGTTGACTGCTTATTTTTAAGTCTGTTGTCTTTGTTAACAAAGAACACTAGGTAATATTTGAGAAACGGTGCAGATATACTTGCAGCATGCTGAAAATTAATCTGTGAGATAATGAATATAAGAAAAAGAAAATTGGAAAAGGAATACCTTTTCCACTATGGTTAATTCATACTCAATATATTTACAGTGTAAAATCAGGCTGTAAAAATTCTTCATGCCTGGGGGAACTTAATTTTTAAAAAATAAATGATTCTGTTATCTATAGAGTGAAAGCAATTAATCAAAGAACTGGATGTTATTAAATATTTTGAATGGGAAAAAATCCAAGATCTGTTATATATACAAAAATAATAGTTTCCTCTTGAGTCAAGCCATGTATTTGTGAAAATTGCAGTACCAAACACAGTACCTGCACTCTGTCCTATATGTAGGACACTATAAAATTATAAATGTTATTATTGTGCTTTAAGTGTATTTTTGGGACATGCAGGTCAAACCCTCATTTGAAAGTGCAAATGTAGTGTCAACTAAGAATCTGACCTAATTTGACTGGATTAACAGTGACATGTTTTTCTCCCTTGCTCAGATTTTCATTTAGACAGAACCTGACACTCAGGCACGGAGCTGATATATGGAGAATCTTCTGCTCTGCATTTTTAATAGAAACTGTCACTTCACGATCTCTGGGATCTTAATTATGTTTTTTTCCTAGATGACTGAGAGTCTATCTTTACACTTGTCTTTTGTTCATAAAGGTCAGATCTAAATAAAGTAGTCAGTGCTTCAGCCAAATATTTTAGAGAGCTAATAGTCTAGTTGTCTTTATATGGGCAACCCTTAATAGGTGACTTTCAAGAAAGTTGTTGATATACAGTGCATAAAACTACTTTCCACAATTGGCAAAGTGATTTTGAATATATAGTTCATTTTTTTTGTCACATAGCAACTTTTTTGGCATATAAAAATCAGGTCACCAGATTTTAGTCTACTCCTAAAATGCTAATGTATACTGTGTGAATTAGCATATAATTACATACTTTTATATATTTTTATTCGGATTGAGAGTATATTATTCACATTTCCCAACTAGATTATAAATATCTTCAGTAAACATGTAGATATAGCTATCTTTTTTTTGGTACCAGGAATCGAATTTAGGACCTTGCGCTTGCCATGCAGTCGCTTGTGCCGCTGAGCTGTATCCCCGAAAGATATAGATAGCTATCTCGACCTAACTCTGTGGATGTCTTTTGTGATTAGGTCCTTAAGAACTATTTTTTAAGAATGTGATGCAGGCTGCCACTGTGTAAACCTTCATTTATCCTTGCTATTCTACTGAAAGCAACTACATACATAATCAGAAACAAGGATTTTTTTCACGGTAAACTTTTAAATACAGGTTGAGGATCTCTAATTTGGAAATGTAAAATCTGAAATGTACCCAAAACCAAAATTGTTAAAGTACTCACATGTGAAAAAATTCACTTCTGATCTCATGTGATAAGTTGCAGTCTAAATGTAGGTTCACTAAAAACTGGGACATTAGCCTCAGGCTATGTGTATAAGGTACAGTATATATAAAGCATAAATGAATTTTCTGTTTGAACTTGGATCCCATTTTCAAGATATTTCATTATGAGTATACAAATGTACCAAGGTTTAAGCCAGGGGTAGTGGTGCATGCCAGTAACACTAGCACTTGGGAGGTTGAGGTAGGAGGATTGCTAGAAGTTGGACAAAATAGCAAGACCCTGTCTCAAAACACACACACACACACACACACACACACACACACACACACACACACACAAATATGCTAAATATCCTCTTCCAGGACATTGTGAATAAGAGGTACTTAACCTGCCTATGATATGTATATTTTTATACTATACTTCAGTTTGGATTAACCCTAGGAGATGCAAATTTCCTTTATCGGCGATGATTTGTTTCCTAATTTTTCATGCCAAGGGAGTATGCACCAGAACCCAGGAGTTTGCTGCCTGAAGAAGAAAAGTTTTTCATAATCTCTGTAGGGAAATGACATTTTAATGCGACCCTCAGTCTCACAGAAATTACTGGTGGTCTCAATCCAAGATGAAGTGCAAAGTGAAATCACCTGTTAAACGGCAGCTCACACCTCTGTGCCCTCAAGATC